TTAAATCTTAGTGAAGCTGTCGGTGAGGGAGGGGTGGGGACGGCACTGGGATAACAGGACTCTTCGGTAAGTTAGAGAGTTGAAGTAGTAAGAGTCAGCAGGACTGGCACTGACTGATAAATTAAGGTCTTCGCTAAATACAAGTCACCAGAGGGTGCATACAGTGTGAGAGGGTCAGCGATGTGTGATCTTTCTTACGTTTTGCAACTAATCCAACCTGCACGTAAAGGTAATAGCGTCGTACTTTTATGCTATCGACTACATCGTCAAAATTACGGCCTTAGTGAACGTAACAGAAAGTAAATATTGATTAAAAGAAGGTACATTTAGCACCATCTGCTGCGCAGTTCAATCAACAAGTCCTAAGCATCATTCGCAGTGTCAATATAGAAGTAAAAAGACAATAGACGATCTGATACAAAGGTATCAGATTCACCAAGAACTTTATCCAGGGACAAGTGACATTGCAATGGTAAGATCTCGGCTTATTCTGAAAATCAGGACATTCAACGAGGAACGCAGCTGTGAGATTAAACAGTTTTAACAATACGGTACAGACCTTTGTTTACATAGGAACACACGAGTTAGGCGTGTGTGGCCAGTATGCAGCCAAGCCATAGCTAGGCTACGAGGATTGGCCACATTTTATATAGCAACGGTCGAGAGGTCACCAGGGGCAACATCAGTATGACTGGAGACCCAATTCGACCGTCATATGTCTGCTAAAGATTAAAAGTATCCAGCATTGGATTTCGATCACCACAGGACAGGAAGGAATAAAAGACTACAGAGCCATGAAGACACTCTCAGAGTAAACCACAAATACACCTGATCACTGACATAAAAAGGGGGACTTGTAGTATAGTTGCTCTCATTCTCGAATCACTATTGTGGGTCTCATATTCAGTTCCTGGAAGGGTCAAACATGATCGGGTTCGTTTCCGTTACACCTAATGCATCTGATCTAGCAACAAAAATGTACTCGGTAATTAGCCAACTGTTGTGCAACTGCATCCTAGGTAGTGATAGCCGTCTGGGAGATCTTGATAGAGGCCTAAAGTATGCATTCACAGGCTTCCTATCCCCGACAAAATGAAAAGGCAATAACATGGAGGATGCAGAATCATATACTGTTAGGGTCTGAAAATGCTCTTTCCTTTCAGGTCCCGGTATGGTGCCTGGTAGCCTTAGATTCTAGTTCCTTGCCTTGTGCAGGTTTTTTGTTGCCTGTTTAGTAAGCTTGCTTCCTGGCTGAGGATGCTGGAGTGGATATAAAAAGCAGCACTAGCAGTGCTGCTTTTTCATATTGCAGCTCTTGCCATATGGCAACACATCTACTGGTGTTGCTCTTGCTCTTTCAGTAGTCTGCCTGTTTTCTTCTTGTTCCTGCACCCTTTTTTCCCTTCTGTATCTTGGGGCAGAGTTTTCCCTGAGTCCTAGCTGTGGTGGGCTCTATCTTCCTGTTCGTGTGTCGGGATGGTTGTGAGTGGTCTTTCCCGTAGCGTGGCAGCAGCTCGCTCCTGGCTGAGGTGTTGTTCTGCGGTGCCAGGGTCTCCCAAGGTGACGTTGCCTTTGTCATCAGTACTCACTTTGGTGGTACTTACGCTGGGTTTAGCATGCCATCTGCGTGTGTGGGGCTTGGACAATACGATAGGGTTAATAGTTTTTGGGTCTATGGGAGACCGTGGAACCACAACTTGTCCTCTTACAAAGAACGTCGCTATTCGCTCGTATTCGTTGCTAAAGCCAAAAAAAGTTATACTAGAAAATGGAAGCGGCTCGCGAAAGTGACGTACTGTCCCGTTTTCTGTTTTGGGTCGTCTGGCTTAGTCTGTTAGCCTATGTGTCTTTTATGAATACATAGGAGAGGACACTTTAAATTAACCGTTTTCTTGACGTTTTGAAATCTTGGGGGGACGAGCTGTGGAGGTACCATCGTCTGGCTGCAACCCGTTCTCGCACTTTCCTACAGTCAATATTGACTTATTAAATACGTGTATATGTGACACACTAAACATACTAGTTTACCTTGAAAAGCTTCATAGAAAACACCGACCTTACCTATCCTTCTTAGTATGTTAAGATAAGCATCTTATTGCTTCGTAATTACAATTATTACTTAACCTATACCTATAATAGGTTAAGTAATAATTGTAATTACGAAGCAATAAGATGCTTATTTTAAAAGCTTTTCAAGGTAAACTAGTATGTTTAGTATGTCACATATGCACGTATTTAATAAGTCAATATTGACTATACGAAAGTGCGAGAACGGGTTGCTGGCTGGGGTAGTGTTTTACAGTCAATAGTTACGTCAGAGGTTTTGTCATGGTTGGATCTGACTTGGGCCTCAAAAACCATGTTCATCTTCGTTCGTCGGCATCTTCCTTCTCCTGTGTGTGTGGTCTGTTACAGTAACCTTGTCTCTCGGCTGGGGCTTGTCTCTAGAGCTTATTGTTGCTAATATTGTCTAGGTCTTCCCTCCAGTGGGTTCACATCTTAGTTCGCCAGTTGGGGCAGTTCTGCAGCACTCTGCAATGCATTCGCCCTTCTTGGGGGCCCATATTCTGGTATTCCTCTCTGTACCTGGGTAGTTCTTTTCTTTATTCTGTGCGGGTCAGTCCAGTTTTTTCCCGTTTAGAGCTAGCTTTAGTTGTTGCTAATATTTTGGTTCTCTGGGTTTGGCTCCGTGGGTTAGCTTGCGTGGTTGGCGATTGTGTCCAGTCTCATGTAGTGTTCTCTTTGGCATGGCGAGAGAACGTAAACACCGCTCCTAGTTATTTTCCTAGTTGTTGGTTGGTGTTCTTAGCTTCGGTGTGCACTTGGTGGATTCTTTTCTTTGTTGTCTGATTCCCTAGATGTGAGCATGCGTGGTAGCTGTTGTTGCCTCACTCAGAGTTGGTTGGGTTCCTTTGTACCATCCTTCTAGGTTCATGTTTTTCCCATTCTTCCTTGGAAGCTCTGAAGCCAGGCCTGGTCATGCTGAACGGGGTTCCTACAATGCCCATTGGGAACGCTGCTGAATTCCCTGTATTGTCCTTGGGTTGTTCGGGAAAGCAGTACGTTTGTTGGGCCTGCGTCCATGAATTGTTTTTTTCGTTGCTGGCTTTCTGGACATTTTCTCACCATCGTGCTCTACTAACCATCGACTACTCCTGGTGATACCAGGTTATGGAGGACTCCTGATGGTACCAGGTCATGTAGGACTCCTGGTGGTACTAGGTCATGGAGAACTCCTGGTGGTACCAGGTCATGGAGGATTCCTGGTAGTACTAGGTCATGGAGAACTCCTGGTGGTACCAGGTCATGGAGGACTCCTGGTGGTACCAGGTCATGGAGGACTCCTGGTGGTACCAGGTCATGGAGAACTCCTGGTGGTACCAGGTCATGGAGGACTCCTGGTGGTACCAGGTCATGTAGGACTCCTGGTGGTACCAGGTCATGTAGGACTCCTGGTGGTACTAGGTCATGGAGAACTCCTGGTGGTACCAGGTCAAGGAGGACTCCTGGTGGTACTAGGTCATGAAGAACTCCTGGTGGTACCAGGTCATGGAGGACTCCTGGTGGTACCAGGTCATGGAGGACTCCTGGTGGTACTAGATCATGGAGTACTTCTGGTGGTACCAGGTCATGTAGGACTCCTGGTGGTACCAGGTGATGGAGGACTCCTGGTGGTACCAGGTCATGGAGGACTCCTGGTGGTACTAGATCATGGAGTACTTCTGGTGGTACCAGGTCATGTAGGACTCCTGGTGGTACCAGGTGATGGAGGACTCCTGGTGGTACCAGGTGATGGAGGACTCCTGGTGGTACCAGGTGATGGAGGACTCCTGGTGGTACCAGGTCATGTAGGACTCCTGGTGGTACCAGGTCATGTAGGACTCCTGGTGGTACCAGGTCATGTAGGACTCCTGGTGGTACCAGGTCATGGAGGACTCCTGGTGGTACCAGGTCATGGAGGACTCCTGGTGGTACCTGGTCATGGAGGACTCCTGGTGGTACCTGGTCATGGAGGACTCCTGGTGGTACCAGGTCATGGAGGACTCCTGGTGGTACCAGGTCATGGAGGACTCCTGGTGGTACCTGGTCATGGAGGACTCCTGGTGGTACCTGGTCATGGAGGACTCCTGGTGGTACCAGGTCATGGAGGACTCCTGGTGGTACCAGGTCATGGAGGACTCCTGGTGGTACTAGGTCATGAAGAACTCCTGGTGGTACCAGGTCATGGAGGACTCCTGGTGGTACCAGGTCATGGAGGACTCCTGGTGGTACTAGATCATGGAGTACTTCTGGTGGTACCAGGTCATGTAGGACTCCTGGTGGTACCAGGTGATGGAGGACTCCTGGTGGTACCAGGTCATGGAGGACTCCTGGTGGTACTAGATCATGGAGTACTTCTGGTGGTACCAGGTCATGTAGGACTCCTGGTGGTACCAGGTGATGGAGGACTCCTGGTGGTACCAGGTGATGGAGGACTCCTGGTGGTACCAGGTGATGGAGGACTCCTGGTGGTACCAGGTCATGTAGGACTCCTGGTGGTACCAGGTCATGTAGGACTCCTGGTGGTACCAGGTCATGTAGGACTCCTGGTGGTACCAGGTCATGGAGGACTCCTGGTGGTACCAGGTCATGGAGGACTCCTGGTGGTACCTGGTCATGGAGGACTCCTGGTGGTACCTGGTCATGGAGGACTCCTGGTGGTACCAGGTCATGGAGGACTCCTGGTGGTACCAGGTCATGGAGGACTCCTGGTGGTACCTGGTCATGGAGGACTCCTGGTGGTACCTGGTCATGGAGGACTCCTGGTGGTACCAGGTCATGGAGGACTCCTGGTGGTACCAGGTCATGGAGGACTCCTGGTGGCCAGCTACAGAATATACATACCAATCAGAAAGAGGCATTTCATTACAGTCAACATTGAATTATTATGCCACATTTATTAGATTACACTTAAATTGGTACATACTTCATGCCAGAGATTATGATTTTTGTGACTGTAGCTTCCAGAAGGAGGAGGACGGTCAGAAGATGGGGGTGGTGGAGAAGGTGGCCGTCTTCTACACCTCTCCCATATCCAAGCTGTGCGCCCATTCCTCGGCCTATGGCGGCTTTCTGGTTCTCTACACTTACGTTGTCCTCTTTGACTTCAAGTACGAGATGTCGGTCTCAGAGATGGTTCTCATCATCTGGATGTTCACCTTCTTCAGTGACGAATTTGTAGAGGTAAGGAAGAACAAGTATGTTCAGAGTGAACATTGAGTCTGCAGCAAACATTAGTTAATAGTGAACTTTGTGTTTGCGCTATATACCAAGTCAGAATATCATCTTCATTATACTTTTCTAAAAATAATTAATATACGACTAATTATATATACTGGACATACAGTACATGATCACCTCCTAGTGTGCCCATATTATCTGTCACTGATACCCAGAGTCAGTTATTTACACCCAAGAACTTGGACTAAATTTATGGTAGCTTTTGAACATGTGTAATGAATATTTTGGTAATTTCTCCACATAAATGAGACTTTTGTAAATCAATTTGGGAGTTATGATTAGTAGTGATCATTAGCAAAAAATCAGTGCATAAATGTATGGAATAATGTTAGCAGGATATTAGGATATATATCTACACTTTGCTGCAACACTGCCGACGTTACACCTTGCTGCAACACTGCCGACGTTACACCTTGCTGCAACACTGCCGACGTTACACCTTGCTGTAACACTGTCAACGTTAAACCTTGTTGCAATATTAACTAAGGGGGCCAATTAGGGGAAAGTAAAAGTTATTCATTTTTTTTAATTATTTGCGAAATGGTGATGGAAAGGGCTGCAACTGGTCAAGGTTTCAGAATCACACCGTAAATAGAAAAGGAGAAAAAAAATACACAACGTATTATGCAACGAATTTTCAACATTTTCAAAAACTCTCAGGGAATACGTGTCAACTAAAATCATTTCTATAACACTCAAATAGCACAATAGCATATATTAAAGGATTTCTTCGAGCAGTTTTATAAAAAAGTGTTTAGTGCAATAATACAATTATTCAAAGTTCCCCTTCCAAAAATATGCAATGTATGATGTTTATAAATATTTATAAAGTCAATAAATGGACTTTGGACTAAAATGTCCAGATCGGTTTGTAGAAGCACAAACTCTACATATAAGGTCTAATTTGCATGTAAATTGATTAATAAATGAAAGCTGTGACACACCTTGAATTTGTAAATTCAAGGTGTCAAAATATATATATAATTTTTTTTTTTTTTTTTTTTTTTAAACCTAGAAGGGGTACCACCTCTGGTGCAAGTGTAGGGACCCATAGCCTCGGAGAAGAAAATAAAGAGTACTCAGAGAAGACCTTGTGGATCCTCACTGAACACTTTGATATTTTCTTCTCCTACCACCCCTATTCTTTTGTTAAGTGTGTATATTTATCTAACTTTATTTGAAAATGTCATTACACAAAAAATGTTACAATATTGATTAAATGCAGGGTACAAGGCTGCTTGTCACAAGTTGAACAGCTCCTCCAGCTCCTCAGATGGCGGGCAGGAACCGTGGATGCAGTGAGCATTTCCTCTCTGGATTGCCACACTAAGGCGCTGAAAAAGAAAACTGGCAGCTCTAGGGTCTCTAGTTGTTTCGATTAGCTTAGACCCCAACTCCTTCAAAAAGCTAGCAGCACTTTTACCCCAGGCACCAAGTGTCTCTGAGGCAATGGGGACAAAATTGTAGTGGTGCTCAAGGTCTCTGTATTTACGTGACTTGGCCGCTTCCCGGTGATTGGCAGCTCCTCCTGCTTGTGTAGCACTGAAGTCAACATAGGTATTGGCTAAAGTTGAAACGCAAGTGTAATCCCACACCAACTGTCTACCATTCTTCCAGGGGTTCACCGTAATTCCGTCTGGGCGACCGACAGGCTCATCAGAGTTGCGGGACATTAGGTAATGGGGCTCTCTCTCTGCTGGACAACCGGCTGTGGTAAGGCTTCTCTTAATAATGTCATTAACCTCGCCGTGTCTTGCATGCCATCCTCCCGTCCTTTGGCAAAGAAGGCCATGCCGTCCATATCTGTCGGCCTCTGCCTCGCCGCAAATACACCTGTATTCGGTGTGGATTGGGGCAGCTAGGCGGAGAGCCACGGCAATTCGGAGGGCCTGCGGTGTGAAACGGGTGCCGGTTGCTGACATTGGGGTTGCTAATAGGAAATCACCTGCATGGGGAGCTGCTACAGCTCTATATATATATATATATATAGGTCTATCTATCTATATATATATATATATATATATATATATATATATATATATATATATATATATATATATATGTATATGCGAACAAGCCTGAATGGTCCCCAGGACTATATGCGAATGAAAACTCACACCCCAGAAGTGACTCGAACCCATACTCCCAGAAGCAACGCAACTGGTAACTACAGGGCGCCTTAATCCGCTTGACCATCACGGCCGTCAAAAGGAAGTGATAGCCGAGGCTATTTGAGCCACTTCCCCGACGGCAACTCGGATGGTAATCTTGGGCATAGCATTTCACCAAATCACCTCATTCTTTGGGGCACACGTGAGGAACACAAATGCGAACAAGCCTGAATGGTCCCCAGGACTATATGCGAATGAAAACTCACACCCCAGAAGTGACTCGAACCCATACTCCCAGAAGCAACGCAACTGGTAACTACAGGGCGCCTTAATCCGCTTGACCATCACGGCCGTCAAAAGGAAGTGATAGCCGAGGCTATTTGAGCCACTTCCCCGACGGCAACTCGGATGGTAATCTTGGGCATAGCATTTCACCAAATCACCTCATTCTTTGGGGCACACGTGAGGAACACAAATGCGAACAAGCCTGAATGGTCCCCAGGACTATATGCGAATGAAAACTCACACCCCAGAAGTGACTCGAACCCATACTCCCAGAAGCAACGCAACTGGTAACTACAGGGCGCCTTAATCCGCTTGACCATCACGGCCGTCAAAAGGAAGTGATAGCCGAGGCTATTTGAGCCACTTCCCCGACGGCAACTCGGATGGTAATCTTGGGCATAGCATTTCACCAAATCACCTCATTCTTTGGGGCACACGTGAGGAACACAAATGCGAACAAGCCTGAATGGTCCCCAGGACTATATGCGAATGAAAACTCACACCCCAGAAGTGACTCGAACCCATACTCCCAGAAGCAACGCAACTGGTAACTACAGGGCGCCTTAATCCGCTTGACCATCACGGCCGTCAAAAGGAAGTGATAGCCGAGGCTATTTGAGCCACTTCCCCGACGGCAACTCGGATGGTAATCTTGGGCATAGCATTTCACCAAATCACCTCATTCTTTGGGGCACATGTGAGGAACACAAATGCGAACAAGCCTGAATGGTCCCCAAGACTATATGCGAATGAAAACTCACACCCCAGAAGTGACTCGAACCCATACTCCCAGAAGCAACGCAACTGGTAACTACAGGGCGCCTTAATCCGCTTGACCATCACGGCCGTCAAAAGGAAGTGATAGCCGAGGCTATTTGAGCCACTTCCCCGACGGCAACTCGGATGGTAATCTTGGGCATAGCATTTCACCAAATCACCTCATTCTTTGGGGCACACGTGAGGAACACAAATGCGAACAAGCCTGAATGGTCCCCAGGACTATATGCGAATGAAAACTCACACCCCAGAAGTGACTCGAACCCATACTCCCAGAAGCAACGCAACTGGTAACTACAGGGCGCCTTAATCCGCTTGACCATCACGGCCGTCAAAAGGAAGTGATAGCCGAGGCTATTTGAGCCACTTCCCCGACGGCAACTCGGATGGTAATCTTGGGCATAGCATTTCACCAAATCACCTCATTCTTTGGGGCACACGTGAGGAACACAAATGCGAACAAGCCTGAATGGTCCCCAGGACTATATGCGAATGAAAACTCACACCCCAGAAGTGACTCGAACCCATACTCCCAGAAGCAACGCAACTGGTAACTACAGGGCGCCTTAATCCGCTTGACCATCACGGCCGTCAAAAGGAAGTGATAGCCGAGGCTATTTGAGCCACTTCCCCGACGGCAACTCGGATGGTAATCTTGGGCATAGCATTTCACCAAATCACCTCATTCTTTGGGGCACACGTGAGGAACACAAATGCGAACAAGCCTGAATGGTCCCCAGGACTATATGCGAATGAAAACTCACACCCCAGAAGTGACTCGAACCCATACTCCCAGAAGCAACGCAACTGGTAACTACAGGGCGCCTTAATCCGCTTGACCATCACGGCCGTCAAAAGGAAGTGATAGCCGAGGCTATTTGAGCCACTTCCCCGACGGCAACTCGGATGGTAATCTTGGGCATAGCATTTCACCAAATCACCTCATTCTTTGGGGCACACGTGAGGAACACAAATGCGAACAAGCCTGAATGGTCCCCAGGACTATATGCGAATGAAAACTCACACCCCAGAAGTGACTCGAACCCATACTCCCAGAAGCAACGCAACTGGTAACTACAGGGCGCCTTAATCCGCTTGACCATCACGGCCGTCAAAAGGAAGTGATAGCCGAGGCTATTTGAGCCACTTCCCCGACGGCAACTCGGATGGTAATCTTGGGCATAGCATTTCACCAAATCACCTCATTCTTTGGGGCACACGTGAGGAACACAAATGCGAACAAGCCTGAATGGTCCCCAGGACTATATGCGAATGAAAACTCACACCCCAGAAGTGACTCGAACCCATACTCCCAGAAGCAACGCAACTGGTAACTACAGGGCGCCTTAATCCGCTTGACCATCACGGCCGTCAAAAGGAAGTGATAGCCGAGGCTATTTGAGCCACTTCCCCGACGGCAACTCGGATGGTAATCTTGGGCATAGCATTTCACCAAATCACCTCATTCTTTGGGGCACACGTGAGGAACACAAATGCGAACAAGCCTGAATGGTCCCCAGGACTATATGCGAATGAAAACTCACACCCCAGAAGTGACTCGAACCCATACTCCCAGAAGCAACGCAACTGGTAACTACAGGGCGCCTTAATCCGCTTGACCATCACGGCCGTCAAAAGGAAGTGATAGCCGAGGCTATTTGAGCCACTTCCCCGACGGCAACTCGGATGGTAATCTTGGGCATAGCATTTCACCAAATCACCTCATTCTTTGGGGCACACGTGAGGAACACAAATGCGAACAAGCCTGAA